CCAAGGCAAGCTTGAGCCAACATGGCTACGGACGATGATGATGATGATGATGATGATGATGATGATGATGCTGATGATGCTGATGATGATGATGATGATGGTGATGATGATGATGATGGTGATGATGTTGCTGATTACGTATGATGATGATGACGATGACGATGACGATGACCATGATGAATATGCTGCTGATGCTGATGATGGTGATGATGCTGCTGATGATGATGACGATGACGATGATGCTGATGATGCTGATGATGTAGGGGAGGAGGAGAAGGATGATGATGCTGCTGAAGATGATGAGGGCAGGCGAGGCATACAACAGGGGACGAGGTAGGAGGGAAGAGACAGGTAGTGGATAGGATTGAGAAGTGAGGAGAGCGAATACAAGGGGTGACGAGGAGGGTGCCAAGCAAGGACTCGACCTGTATACAGCGGCGAGTATGTACCAGCGTTAATACAACTTTTGCAGTCAACAAGATCGATCACCTTCCAATTCCTCACCTCGCCTCCTTCCCCTCGCCCGAGTATAGAGGTCCTCCCCTTCCTGTTCCTTCCCCTCCTCCATCCTTCCTCCCCCCTCCCTCCTTCCCCCCCCCCCTCTCTACTTCTCCCTGTTTCCCCCGCCCCTCCTACCCTCAAGCTGGGCTAGCCTGCCTGGGGGCCAGAAGGCACCCAAGGGAACTTGGGGCCGCGAGGGCCAGGAGGAGTTGCTGGGTCCGTGAATGATGTTTCATCGCTAGCTCTGTACGCTAATTCATAGGGTGAAGCTTAAGAGACAACTGTGGAAACAACGCATTTGCTTATGCTTGTCTGTTGAGCACTGTGTCCAGCACCCGCGGCGCGCTGGAAGTAGCCCGATGGTGGTGCTTCAGCACACGTCCTTGGCCCGAAACGGCGGCGGAAGGTTATCTACGGCAAACAACTCATGGTCTGATGCGGCATAGGGCGCAGGACAATGCGTTCGACACGAATCAAAAGCGACAAGGCGGGGCAGGGGAGGGAGGGGCTGGGAAGGCTGGGGGAAGCTGCGGGCGTCCGAATTGTCCTCCTGGACCTCGCCCTCCCCCTCCTCCTCCTCCTCCTCCTCCTCCTCCTCCTCCTCGTTCTCCTCCTCCTCCTCCTCCTCTTCCTCCTCCTCCTCCTCACCCTTCCTTCATGCTCCTCCGACGCGGGCGAGAACGACGATCGCGACGACGACGACGAAGACGACGACGACGATGACGACGACGGCGGCGCCGACGACGGCGACCTCTCCGCCTCTGCGCATCCGACGCTTGGTGGGCGGGCGGAATGGCAAACGCTCGGGGTTGATCTCGGATAGCAGCACGGTCAGGTGCCTGAGAGGCGGGTTGTCGTCGTCGTCGTTGTCGTCGTTCTCGTCGTCGTCGAAATGTTGTACTTTGCTGTCGTCATCGTCGTCGCCGCCGCCGTCGCGATCGTCATTTTCGTCGCTGGGAAGATTTGCATCGCTACTGTCCTCGTTGTCGTCGTGATCGTGATTCCCGTCGTCGCTGGAGTGGTTTTGCGGAGGTTGTTCTAGGAGTTTCCATGGAGGCCTCGGAGGAGGGTCAACGCATGAGCGGCCGAAGCCCCATGCACTAGGAGTCACCACAGAAGGGCGACAGCCCCAGCGTGCGTGTCCAACGCGTGAGGCGAACACGACCCTGCATGAGGCGTCAGCGCATGAGCACATTAGGGGCCTCATCCCCGGCATGATGAGGCAACGCGTGAGGAACCCACGCCCTGAGCATCATGGTTCAACGCATGAGGGGCAAACACCCCAACATGCTTTTCGCCAGAGCCCCACCACGCGTGCGGCAGCGAATGAGGATCCAAAACCCCGACATGAGGGGTCAGTGCATGTGAGGCCTACGCCTCGGCATGCGGTGCCAACGCATGGGAGGCCTTATCCCAGCATCAGGGGTCCACGCCTCAGGGGTCAAAGCCCCAGCACGAGGGATTAACGCATTAGGAGCCGAACCCGCAGCATGTTTATGGCAGCACATGAGGCGCCGACATCCCAGCCTGGGCCGTGATGGGCCAAAGCCCTAGCACGAGGGTCAAAACCCCAGCATGAGGGGTCAACAGATGAGGGGCCAACACCCGAAGGGCCAACGCCCCAGCATGAGGGGGCAATGCATGAACATGTGATTGGGGGGAGACGGGAGGATGAAGAGAACGAGTGTGTGCGTGTGTGTGCGTGTGGAATCTATAAAGGAGCGGTCAGCCAACCCCGAAAGTCAAGCTGACTACTTTCCGCAAAGTAATCGACACCGCGTGGGCGCCTGGAGAACTCAGGCCCGAGAGCCAAAGAACAAGACCACGAGGGCCCTGGTTCCGATAACATCACCAGCACCGAGGCCAGCACTCCCGAGTCAAGCACGGCACGTAAGCCGCCACTCGCTGTAACCCAGAAGGGCCCACCACGGCGCGTAGGCCCAGGCGCCAGAGCTTCACGCGGCGATGCGTGGGGCCAGCTCCCTGACAGCCAGGCCAGAGGCACTCGTGCAGCTGACAAGCGCGGCGGCACACGACACCGTGCAACAGAAGGTGTGCAGACAAGGCCATAGGCCACTGACCGATCCCCACGCTACCCAGCCAGCACTGGCCCTGCACATCGCTGGCCGTCTGGCCTCCGCCGCTCACGAGGCATCCCTCTCCTCCGACTCCTCCGAGGGCAAAAGGCAGCGGGCCCCCCCCCCTGGCGCCGTCCGGAGGGCGACGGCGTCAAAAACCCCCGCATCCGCGATCTGCGGCAAAACTCCCGTCCAGATCGCCCATTCCCAGAGATCTGCCGCTGCAGCAAAAATTGGAGCGGCGGGCTTTGGGCAGTTTTCGGCCTGCAGGCGGGACGAAAAAACGGCTCTGGGGAAGTGGTCTAGACCTCCGAGGAACACTTGGAGCAGCCGAATGTCGTGATTTTTTAAATACGGGGTGCCCGGAAGTCTCGGCCCATTCCAAAGGACCGGTTTTTCATCCTGAGCCGTTATTTGACGGTCTTGGGGCCCGGCGAGGGCCCCTAGAAGCCGAAAACTGCGAAAAAACTCCGTCTCGTTTTTTTTCAGGACGTTGGATCTCTGGGATTGGAGCAGCCGGATGTCTGGGGGATTGCTCCCCATGCCAGCGAGCCGCCGCGCCAGCCGACTCGACGGCTTGGTGGAAAGCTTGCCACTCCTGCTGGGAGAGGGTGCCGCCGCGGCGGAGCTTCTCCCGAGACTGGGTGTGGGACTGGACCCACTTCGCTGCGTCGGCGCTCGCGCAGGCGCCGACGCCATCGGTGGCACTACGCGCGGGGCCCTGCGTCGAGACAGCCGCCTGCAGCGGGACGTCGGCCACGGCGTTGCACCCCGCCGCCTTGCGCGCCACCAGCGCCGCCATGTGGGCAATTTCCGAAACCCTGAACCCAAAAACGTTTTCATCTCTCGGGGGCGCATGTTTCACTTCCGCCACCTGCCGCCGTCCTTCCGGCGGCTCCCGCCGGCGAAGGCGGCCTCGTTGTACTTCCTTCGACCTTCCGCCGCCTTTCCGCCGCCTTCCGTCACAGAAGAGATGCCAGCTCCTTCGATCCTCGAAGGCGAGGCCCTCTTTGGAGCGCCGCCATCTGCGTGTCGAGCTCCGCCAGCTCGGCCATCTCGGACTCCATGATTGGGAGCGGCCAAGAGGGGGGCGTCCAAGGGGGGGGGAAGCAAATCATGGCCCGCGGCATGTGCGCGGCCCAAGGGGGGGCCGGGGACGTAACGAAATAAGAAGAGACGCCATGAAATCTGGGGAGCTATCATGGCCCACGCCATGATATCCACCCCCTCATAGTCATCACCCCACTCTTTGCCGCCCCCGACGTGAGCTGCATAGCGGCAGGCTGGGAGGCCATCTCGGAGAGCTGGGAGGCCGCCTCGCAGCGCTCGCGGCGCGCCCCTGCTCGGCGCGCTCCTCCGTCGCCACCGCCTGCGTCGAGGCGCGACCCTCGTCCGCGACGGGGCCACCGACGTCGTCGACCTCTTCCGCGAGGCTCGAAGCCGCCGACTCGGAGCTAGCAGCGCTGTCGAGCTCTAGCCGCAGCCGCCGCGTCCAGGCTCGCGTCCGCCGACGCGGTCTCCGCGAACATGGCGCCGAGGCCCTCGCCCTCCCAGACGCGGCACACGACGTGGCGCAGCATGTCAAACTGCTCCTCCAGGTGCAGTAGGAGCTCGACCACAAGAAACCTTCCACAAGAAACCTAACCCTGAGACCCCAGGACGTCCATTGACTTTGGCGTGGGAACGTCACGCCGTCCACTGCAAGACCATCGAAACCCAAGAAACCCGGGGCACCCTGGAGGCAAGCAGTGTGTTTCTTGGCATGCGTCTCCACTGTCGCTGAGCAGGTCCATCTGTCAGCGGCCGTCGACCTTCTCCTGCGACGCCACGCCCGACGCGCCCCCGCTGAAGAACTTGGGGCATCGCGCCGCTCCCCGCGGCGGGTCGTCAACGGTGGTGTTGCCGTCGCGCACGACCACGCTCTGCGTGACCGCCTCGTCGGCGGGCAGGACTGGACCTGGTCCAGCTCCCACGGCATGTCCCTGGCACGGAGCTCCGTCTCGAGCACCGCAGGCGGCGTTATGGCCGCCACCTCGCCGACGAGCACGCCATCCGCTGTGGACTCCCGAAATGGGTACAAAAAAATGGGTGCGATGCCCAACAACAAAAGTTGTCCAAAACCGACAGCGGCCGCTGTTGGGCAGGCGGCCTTCTGTCTCAAATGGACAAAGTCCGCGGCGGCGCGGACAGCAAGCCCTGTCCAAAATGAACAAGAACTGCTGTTGGGCATCGTACCCATTTTTTCCATGCCGATTCTGGTCGTACCGATCCGCGGCCGCGCCATCCGGCGCATCCACGCGCCTCCTGGGTGTGCCCCTGGACTGCTCGGCCGATCGCGACGAAGACGATAGGGGAACGAAGAATGACGTAAACATAAAAACTCGGAGGCCCGCGCGGGTTTCTCGGATCCGCGCTGGACGCCCCTGGCGGCGCCTCAGGCGACGCCCCTGGCGCGCTCCGCGCGCCAGGGAGGGGGGCCCAGCGCCGATCCGAGACATCCGCGCGGACCTCCGAATTTGTATGTTTATGTCAATCTTCGTTTCCCTAGACGAAGCCAGGACGGGGAACAAATCGGGTGAGGATAAATCGAGAATCTCTGAGATCCAGCGGCTCTGGAGATAAAAAAAAATACTGGAAGGGAAATAAAAAAAAAAACGGAAAAAAAAAAAAAAATAGGAAAAAAAAAGAAAAGAAGAGTCATGTCTCGGGAGAAAACGGGACGCAAAAAAAAAAAAAAAAGAAAGAAAAAAAGAAAAGAAAAAGAAAAAAATAAGAAGCCGCCGGCCTTCTCTGAAAAAAAAAAGAAAAAAAAAAAAGAAAAACGAAAAAAAAAAAAAAAGAAAAGAAAAGAAAAAAAAAAAAAAAGAAAAAAAAAAAAAAAAAAAAAAAAAGAAAAATCTGAGAAAAAAAAAAAAGAAAAAAAAAAGAAAAACAAAAAAAAAAAATAAGAAAAGAAAGAAAAAAAAAAAAAAAAAAAAAAAAAAAAAAAAAGAAAAAGAAAAAATAAACTCTGAAAAAAAAACAAAAAAACAAAAATAAAAAACAAAAAAAAAACCGCTGAATGAAAACAAAAAAAAAAAAGAAAAAAAAAAATCATGTCCGGAACGCTCTGAGAGCGTTGCGCAGCGCTCTAAAACGGACTTATCCTCGTCCCAGCACCGTCCGAACGACGCTCGAGGGCTCTTTTCGGCTACCCGTAGGAGTGGCCCTAGGCAAGAGTGACTTTTGGTTCGCGACTTTCGGTGGCCGCGGGGAGGCCGGACCGGAGCGCGCAAGCCGCTGCTATCGCATCGCATTCAGCCATCTGGGCACTCCCGTGCGCCCACACCAAAGCTCACTTTGGCGAAAAGTCACTCTTACGTATAACTGATATTTGACGTTCTAGGCTCGTGTTGGGACATTCAGGAGCGTCTGGGGGCGCGCTGGGCATCAGGATGCAGTGCGGCACTAAAACTTGCCAGCTGGACACCTCAAGGAAACTCCAATGCCTCATACAAACTCCGAAAACTGAGCATCTGGAACAAAAAGCGGACACACAGAACTCATGAGTAAACCATAATGTCGGAGAACGTCCTTCTGCATCAGAGTCTCATCCTCCGCCTTTCCATCCTAATCATCAGTCATACACCCTCCTCCTCTCCTAACATGTCTCCTTATTCCTCATCATTCTCCCTTCCCCTCCTGCTCTACAATTACTCCATATGAATACTACTCTCCCTCTTCCCCTGATGACGTGCTGGGAGTGTTCGCCCCCCCCGCGTCCTCGCATTTTTGTTTCAACATGCTGCTTTCGCTGGGGCGCCGGCCTCATTTTCGGGCCCCGCTCGTTCCGAATCGTGCTCCCGCTGCAGCGTGGATCTCATTTTCGGATCGGTGTTTTGCCTCCGTCGTTCAGGATGGCGTTCTCGCCCCAGCGCGGGCCTCTTTCTCGCGCGCCCATCCGCCCGCCACCACCGCACCGCGCCCCGCCCCGCCCACCGCCACTTCCACCCACCAACGCACGCACGCACGCACGCACGCACGCACCACCGCCACCACCACCCCACTACCCCACCCACCACCACCACGCTACACCGCGTCACACCACATCACACGCGCGCACACACAGACACACACGCACGCACACACACATACACACGCACACACACACACACGCACACACACCACCACCACCACCGCCACCACCACCACCGCCATCACGCACGCACGCACCCCTGGCCCACCACCAAACCACCAAGACGCCACACCACGTCACACCACAGCACACGCGCACACACGCACACACACACAACCACCACCACCACCACCACCACCACCACCACCACCACCACCACCACCACAACCACAACCACGCACACACGCACGCAAGCACGCACGCGCACCACCACCCACTACGCACGCGCGCGCGGAGCCACAGGTCCGCTACGACACGCGTCCGCGGATAGAGAAAATCAGCGCCATGGTAAGGGATGGGAGGGAGGGGTAGGACGTCAGACATGACGCGAGCGCACATAGCTTGATCCTGTCCTCCTCCCCCTCTTCCTCCGTCGTCTCCTCCTCCTCCTCTTCATCCTCGTCTTCCTCGTGTACCTCCTCTTACCCCGTCCCCACCCTCCCACTCCTCCACTCACTTTCCTTACTTCTCCTGCTCCTCCTGCCCCTCCTCCTCCTCCTCGTCGTCCTCCTCCTCATCTGAAGACGATGCTAGAAGAGAGTACCATCCAGAAGACTCCAGAAACGTCCACAAAACGACGAAACACAAAAGAAAACTCCTGAACACTACCAGACATAAACTGAAGACGTGCCGACATATTAATTGTATCCATCCTCTTGCTCTCCTTCTCCTCCGCTCCCACACATTTCCGTCTCTTCCTGCAGCGATGACGGTTAAAGCCTTTGGAAACTGCCGAGAGGCAAGCGACAGCCTCCAAATGCCTCCAGAAACCATGTGATACCTCTGAAGACCCCCAAGCACATCCTCCTCCTGCTTCTCGATGCACATGGCATGAAGATCCCGAACGGTCAGGAAGTCAGAGACCCGAATGGCTGCCAACCAGGCCTGTCGACACCTTCCCTGCGGCCAACTCGTCCGCTGGAGCAGCTTCTGCTGACCGGCCCCAGGCCCAGAAGCGGCCCCTAGATACCAAAGCTGGCGGCAAACAGTGCCCAGAGGCACCCGAAGCACCAAGAGGTCCCTGGAAGCCCCCACAAACCAAAAACGGGCCAACATCGTCCACCAACCTCTTCTAGAAAAGCGATAAACTAGGAAGAAGGAGAACAATGAGAAGAAGAATAAGAAGAAGAAGAAGAAGAAGAAGAAGAAGAAGAATCCGCCGACCCTGTCGTCGTGTGGAATGGGTTGTTCTTCTCGTCCGTGCCTCCTTCCCTTTCCCACCTTCTCCTTCTCCTTCTCCTTCCCGTTCGTCTCCCCCTCCTCCTCCTCCTTCTTCTCCTCCTCCTCCTTCATCTCTTCCTCCTGCGTAAAGAAAATTGACTCGAAGGGTTTCCCCGTCCCTTTGTTCCCTTCCCCGGCCGGGGGGGGGGGATCCCGGGGGAAGCCCGGGAGGGGTCCTGGGGTCCCGGGGGGGGGTCCTGGGGGGGGTCCCGGGTCAGAATACCACCTCCCTCCTCCTCCTCCTGAGCGTCCTTTGCCACCTTCTCCATCTCCTTTTCGTTTGTCTCCCCCTCCTGCTCCTCCTCCGCCTCCTCCATCCCGCCCCCTCAACTCTTTTTTCCTCCTCCTCCTCCTCCTCCTCCTCCTCCTCCTCCTCCTCCTCACACGCTTCCTCCGCCTACCCTGTCACGTTGTCCTTTAGCTCCTTCCTGTGATCACACATCCCGTCGCCATCGACGGCCAGAATCTTCAGGGTCGGCGGCACTGGCCGTAAGGCCTTCGAAAGAAGAAGAAGAAGAAGAAGAAGAAGAAGGAGAAGAAGAACGGCACAAACATAAACTGTTGGCGCTCCGCGCGGGTTTCTTGGATCCGCGCTGTGCGCACGGTGTGCGCCAGGGGCGGCGCCAGAGGCGCCGCAAGGGGGGCCCCAGCGCGGATCCAAGAAATCCGCTCGGAGCGCCAAAAAAGCATGGTTATGGAGTCTTTCGTCTTCGATCAACGGCATGCGGCATACACATAAACTTTTGACGGCTCGCGCGGATGTCTGAGGTCCGCGCCGGACCCCCCCCCTGGCGCGCGGAGCGCGCCGTGGGGCGGCGCAGGGCTGACCTTGAAATAATTAGCACCATAGAATCTCACGCCGTCCTCCTCACCTTCCTCTCCCTCGCTCAGCCTCCATCGCATTCAGACTTCACACCCAGACCCACTCATCATACTCAGACTCACCCACACCCGGTGGCACCAAGACCCATCGGCGTGCAGGTTGCGAAGATGTCTCAAGCGATGTGCTTGTTTCAGAACTCACGAAGGGGGGGGAGCCGCCAGGGGGCAGGACGCTCACCCGTTCGCGCCCAGGATGTGGGGGTGTCTCAAGCGGTCTGCTCAGTAGTGACATTATACTGGCGAAGCTTTCGGCGACAAAACGCCAATCAAAAAATAAACGATTTCAACTAGAAATGAGTGGCGTAGCGTTGGTAGAAGCGCAACTGTCTGATTGCGTAAGCACGCGAGCCCGCGCGATGCTTCATGCCCAATTAGGCTACTCCGAGAGAGGTGCGAGCAGCACGGTTGGCACGAACGAAATCGAAAACATTTCGGCCGCGAAGAACGACGAGGCGAGCACGACCAGGAAAAGCAATACAATTCGTAAGGGCGAAACATTAAAACACAAGTCTGGGCACATAGCAATGCGACGGCGGCTATCAAGGCAAGCGTAACTTCACTAACCGCTGAAGGTCGCGCAAACAAGCGCTTGGCCGAACAAAAACACATGATATTACCACGAACCCCGACCTTGGAGGACAAATGGGGGCTCCTGCGATGCGAGCTCAGCACGTGGCCATGCGAGCCACTGTGGGGGGACGCGTGGCTTGCGAGCAAGTGAACTGCAAAGAACAGCGTGCAGACTCTGCTTGTGTCTGGTTGCCAAGCATCGTGAACATTCAAAGCAGATTGTGCAGATTGTGAGGACGTCTCAGGCGAGGCGCTGTGTTCCGCACTCCCAATGGGGAGCCGCCAGGGGGCAGGATACCCGCCCCTTCGCGCCCAGACTGTGGGGGTGCCTCAGGCGGTCTGCCTGTCTGGGTGCCCGGCATGCTCTGATTTCAGAGCGCATTGCGAGGCTGTCCCGAGCCAGGTGCTGGCTGCAGCACTCCCAAAAGGAAGCCGCGAGGAGCTCTTCTCACGGGCCCGTTCGTGCCCAGACTGCGAGGATGTCTCGAGCGGTCTGTCCGTTTGGGCGCCCAACTTCTGCGTTCAGAGCAGATTGTGCAGATTGTTAGGATGTGTCAGGTGAGCGTTTTCTTTTTCGGCGTTTCGACATATGGAGGGAGGAGGTGGGAGGGACGGGGTCTGGCTCTGGACCTCTGCTTAGTGCGACTGTTTGCAGCAGTGCGTCCATCATGGGGGAGGCTCCACCCGCTCGAAACAAGCGTCCACAAACAGTCAAGATCTACTCCATGGTGGAGGGGGGGAGGGGGGGGTTGGGGGACCGCGCCGATCGGCAAAACAATGATTACGCTACCGAGGAGCCCCACATACTTATTTATGTCCTGTGTGAACCGCACTACCACTACCACCGCAATCATGCTCTCTGGTGCCCCCTGCGGTCGTTGGAAGGAGGGGGAGGACGGGTGGGGGAGGGGTCCCCACTGAGGGACCACCCTCTGCGCACCCCCAGCGGTGTCGAGAAAGTGCCGCGCCTGCCACGCTCTGCGAGCGTGTCACGGATAGAGGCCGCGCTGACGGACCACCCGCTGCGCCCCCCCAGCGGTGTCGAGAAAGTGCCTCGCCTGCCACGCTCTGCGAGCGTGTCACGGATAGAGGCCGCGCTGAGGGACTACCCTCTGCGCACCCCCTGTGGTGTCGAGAAAGTGCCACTCCTGCCACGATCTGCGAGCGTGTCACGGATAGAGGCCGCGCTGACGGACCACCCTCTGCGCACCCCCATGTGGTGTCCAGAAAATGCCACTCCTGCCATGCCCTGCGAAAGTGTCACGGATAGAGGCCGCGCTGAGGGACCACCCCCTGCGCCCCCCATGTGGTGTCGAGAAAGTGCCGCGTCTGCCACGCCCTTCGAGCGTGTCTCGGATAGAGGCCCCGCTGAGGGACCACCCGCTGCGCCCCCCCAGCGGTGTCGAGAAAGTGCCTCGCCTGCCACGCTCTGCGAGCGTGTCACGGATAGAGGCCGCGCTGAGGGACCACCCTCTGCGCACCCCCTGTGGTGTCGAGAAAGTGCCACTCCTGCCACGATCTGCGAGCGTGTCACGGATAGAGGCCGCGCTGACGGACCACCCTCTGCGCACCCCCATGTGGTGTCCAGAACATGCCACTCCTGCCATGCCCTGCGAACGTGTCACGGATAGAGGCCGCGCTGAGGGACCACCCCCTGCGCCCCCCCTGTGGTGTCGTGAAAGTGCCGCGCCTGCCACGCCCTTCGAGCGTGTCTCGGATAGAGGCCCCGCTGAGGGACCACCCGCTGCGCCCTCCCAGCGGTGTCGAGAAAGTGCCTCGCCTGCCACGCTCTGCGAGCGTGTCTCGGATAGAGGCCGCGCTGACGGACCACCTTCTGCGCACTCCCTGTGGTGTCGAGAAAGTGTCACTCCTGCCACGATCTGCGAGCGTGTCACTGATAGAGGCCGTGCTGAGGGACCACCCTCTGCGCACCCCCACGTGGTGTCCAGAAAATGCCACTCCTGCCATGCCCTGCGAACATGTCACGGATAGAGGCCGCGCTGAGGGATCACCCCCTGCGCCCCCCCAGCGGTGTCGAGAAAGTGCCTCGCCTGCCACGCTCTGCGAGCGTGTCTCGGATAGAGGCTGCACTGAGGGACCACCCCCTGCGCACCCCCATGTGGTGTCGAGAAAATGCCGCGCCTGCCACGCCATGCGAGCGTGTCACGGATAGAGGCCGCGCTGAGGGACCACCCTCTGCGCACCCTCATGTGGCGTCCAGAAAATGCCACTCCTGCCATGCCCTGCGAACGTGTCACGGATAGAGGCCGCGCTGAGGGACCACCCTCTGCGCACCCCCAATGGTGTCGAGAAAGTGCCACGCACGCTGTGCCTAGACGACCGTCGTGCGTAGCGGCCGCGGTGAGAGACCACCCACTGCGCACCCCTTATGGTATCGAGAAAGTGCCACGCCTGCTATGCCCTGCGACATGGCCCGCATAGGCGCCGCGCTCGGGGACCACCCCCTGCGCACCCCCTATGTTGTCGAGAAAGTGCCACGCCTGCTATGCCCTGCGCCATGGCCCGCATAGACGCCGCGCTTGGGGACCAACCCCTGCGCACCCCCCATGGTGTCGAGAAAGTGCCACGTCTGCTATGCAATGCGCCATGGCCCGCGTAGACGCCGCGCTCGGGGACCGTGCCACGCCTGTGCTGTGCTGTGCTGCGGTGTGCTGAGCTGTGCTGTGCTGTGCTGTGCTGTGCTGTGCTGTGCTGTGCTGTGCTGTGCTGTGCTGTGTGTGTGTGAGGTGTGCTGTGTGTGCTTGTATGTGTGTATGTGTATATGTGTGTATGTGTGTACGTGTGTGCTGTCTGCGCTGTGCGTGTGTATGTGTGTATTTGTGTATAGGTGTATGTGTGTATGTGTATGTGTGTGCTGTGCTGTGCTGTGCTGTGCTGTGCTGTGCTGAGGGTGAGGGAGGAAGGAGGGGGAGGGGGAGGGGGAGGAGGGGGAGGAGGAGGAGGAGGAGGAGGAGAGGAGGAGGAGGAGGAGGGAGGAGGAGGAGTAGGGAGGAGGAGGAGGGGAGGTGAGAGGAAGAAGACGCAGGTGCGACGCGGGAGGGAAGAACACCATAACCCCACCACGCATGTGGGGAATTAAAAACGATGACGTTGAGTTCCCAACTTCTACTCTCAAAGCAGATTGTCCAGATTGTTAGGATGTGTCAGGCGAGGCGCGGGTTTCAGCAATCACAAGGGAGAGCTGCCAGAGTGTTCTCACGGGCCTGTCCGCGCTCAGACAGGTTGCGGGGATGTCTCTCGAGCGGCTCGGGTGCCTAACATCATCTGCCGTCAAGCAGATGGCGAGGATGTCTCAAGCGCGGTTCTGGTCTCAACACTCCTAAGTAAGCGTTTCTCATTCGGCGTCAACGGAAAGCGCCAAGCAACAGGATGCACATATAGAGATCTCCGCGTCGAATTCGCCGACCCAACGGGCAAAGGACGTTGTAAGATCTCCGGTGACTGGTTAACAATTGTCTAATTCGCGCGCGGGGGGCCGTCCCTGGGGGTCCCCGGACGAAAAATACCCTGGCAAGATCCCGGCAAGTCCCGGCAAAGTCCCGGCAAGTCCTGGCAAGGTCCCGCCCGTCAAGTCCCGGCAAGGTCTCGGCAAGGTCCCAGGCAGGTCCCCCGGGCAGGTCCCGGCCAAGTCCCAGCAGGCTCCCAAGAGCGTTCCAGGAGCGCTTCAAGTGGCCTCCAAGAGAGCTCAACATGGCCCGAGATGGCCCAAGAGCGATCCAAGACGCCAAAGATGGCCTCCAGACAGCCCACAGCGCCTGCAAGACGCCCTCAGAGGCCTCCAATAGACTTCCCAAGAGGGGCCACAGAGGCAGAAATTTGTGATTTCGCTGCAGTTGTTGAAGGTTTTGGCGTTCTCGCCTTGGGGGCTTACCAACGCTGCAAGACGGCCCAAGAGGCTTCCAGAATCGCCCCGGCACAGCCCAAGAGGCCTCGAAGAGCGCCCAAAACGGCCCCAGAGGGCCCCAAGACAGCCCCATAGGCCTCCAAGATGGCCGCAGAGGCTCCCAAGACGGCTCCAAGAGCGGGCCCAGACGGGGGATCCAAACGGACATTTCGAGCTCTACGCGCATCGAGGTCCCATGGAGGCCCCAAGAAGCCCACAAGAAGCCCCCCAAGAGGCCCCTGAGAGTCCCCATGAGGGCCCCAAGATGCCCTGGAGAGGCCCCAAGAGACCCGCATGAGGCCCTCAAGAAGCCCCCACGAGGCGCGTTGCCGACGACCACTCGGCCAGTCGACCGCGGTGCGAAATATGGACCGGCGGAATGCGCGAAACGATTAACGTTTCTATGCATGTGTATCTTTTCTTCGATCTTTGAACCTAGATACTCCTTGATCCTCGAGCCGCAATTTCCTTGATCTGCCCAAGAAAGACCCGGGAATGGAACTTAGTATGGGGGAGCGGGTACCGAGGGAAACGGGTCCTGGACCCTGGGGCCTTCCCCCTAGACCAATCCTCAGTCAATTTCTGACAGTCCCGGGGCCCGTGGAGGGCACCGATATCGCGAAAACGGCCTTCCCCAGGACCAATCCTGAATCGACTTCTGACGGTCCTGGGGCCCGTGGAGGGCCCCGAGAATCCCAGAACGGCGAAAAACCTCAGGACCCGTTTCCCTCAGGACCCGCTACCCTTAGGTCGGGCATGTCCTCATACAGGCGGATTTCGGAAGAAACATAAAACATAGTCAACAAAATCAAAGAAGCAGAAGAGCACGAAACACTGTCACCGAACAATTATTCTCCAATTCTTGGATATCCCTCCTGTAGCGGGACATGCCCGACTTCAAGCTACCCTTTAATAAGGACCGAGCGCCCTGGCATTCCTACAGGCCTGATTGCCACGAGATGTTCTTAGCGCCCCCAAAAATCCCTAAAGAACGAAAACATTGCTCCAGAACGCGAGCCCGATGGGTTAGACCAAGACGGCCTCAGCCAGAAATGTTCTAAGAACATTTCGTCCAGACCACCAAAGGTTCTTGGAACATGGTTGTGTGAGCCTGCTGGCAAGCCGGGACGCTACGCCACTGCTTGAAAAGGGGCGCCGGCGAGAGGCGGGCCAGCCTGATGCCGCGGCGGTCCAGGAGCCGCTCCACCTGCGCGGCGGGGTGGGCGGCCCTTTTCCTCCTCCTCCTCCGCCTCCGCCACCGCCTCCACCCCGTCAGCCTCCTCCTCCTCCTCCACCTCCTCCTCCTCCTCAGTCTCCTCCCCCTCTCCCTCCCCCTCTCCCTCCACCTTCTTCTCCTCCTCCTCCTCCTCCTCCTCCTCCTCGTCCTCCTCCTCCTCCTCCTCCTCCTCCTCCTCGCCTCCTCCCCTCCTCCTCCTCAGCATCATTATCATCACACCACCACCATCACCATCATCCTCATCCTCCGCCTCCTCCTCCTCCTCCTCCTCTCCTCCTCATCACCATCACCATCACCATCACCATCACCATCACCATCACCATCACCATCACCATCACCATCATCATCATCATCATCATCATCATCATCATCATCATCATCATCATCATCATCAGCCGCAGCAGCAGCATCAACATCAGCATCAGCATCAGCA